ACGGCTGCTAAGGCCGTGATATCAAACTTTTGGGTAAGTCCTCTTCAGAAGCACTAGTCTTGAGTTTCTTTCATAGTTTATCATCGAATCGTTTAACTCATCGCTTGTTCCATTCTGGTTTTATGATTGCCTCTAGAAATTCTATAGAGTTCTTGAGGAGCACACGGCCATGGCCGATGAGTATGTGCTACGGGCTGCGAGGAAGCAGACCCGTCAGATACAGTACGAGGTGCGCTGGGTGGCCATCTCACGGTATTATCACGACAAACATGGCGTGAAGGTGACCAAGGAAGAAGCTAAGGCACAGGACCTTACCTTGGAACGGGAGCAGTACATGTTGGTAAGCATAACGGACTTTTCATTCCGACGTTTGTGGTAAATTTCATTGTTTCGTGTTCACATGCCATTATGCTTCATTATGTAGGTGGCTCCTGATTGGTGCTATCGCCACCCTGAGGGATGGGCGGGATTGGTGGATATGTGGGTCGGCGCAGACACAGAGTTTGCTGCCAAGAGCAGCATAAACAAGGCTAATCGAGGACATGACGGAACACACGGTCAGGGAAACCGAAACCACTGGCACACCAAGAAAATTCAGGTATATCTATGTACATGAAACATTCTTGATCTTCTATTTGCCGTATGTTCTTATGTATGACTAACCTTTGTTTGGTGGTGCAGGAGGAGAAATTGAAGCGGCCGCTCTCAGACATCGAGTCCTGGAGGCTCGCCCGTGTGCGGCCTAATCGCAAGGATGACGAGAGTGAGTACTATGGCAAGGCCGGGGAGAACCTGGAGTCCTACAAGAAGGAGTTTAAGAAGTGGAATCCTGACAAAGGAGACCCCATGTCTACGGATTCCGACGAGAGGGCGGTGGTGAGCATAGGGCCGAGGAGTCATGGTCGGTCGGCGGTTCTGGATTCGATGATCACCCCTTCTATCTCCTACAGACGGATCCGAGCTACCAACCCGAGGCCGAGCCCGCGCCCGCGCCCGAGCATGTCCACTGCACAGGCCATCCTAGCCCAGCGCAACTCTGTAAGTATTTTTCCCTCTTATCTTCTTTCTTTCTACTTTTATTTTCTGCTTTGTTATGTATTATGAGTTGCATCATGTCGTATTGTAGGCCTACATGGAGTTCCAATGTCAGCAGCTCTACGACTGGAACCAGAGAGTTGCAGCAGTCATGGAGCACAATAGTCGCATGACGCAGCTTATGTTTGCGTCTATGGCAACCGGGCAGATTCCTACAATGGAACCACCACCACCACCTCCTGGACCACAACCAGTGGTGCCTACATTTGAACAATTTCTGGCAGACCACTACAATGTCACTCCGGTTAGTACATCACCAACCTATTCAACCACAACTTCTCGTTTATTCAATACAATCATATATTGCCTTACCATCTCTTTCCAAACATGCAGGGAACCGATGGTGGTGCTACTGATGGTTCCACTCCTGAGTCACGGAGCCCAGTCACTCCGGTCTGGCTTGGCGGCGGCGGTGGCGGTGGCGCTAGCGCTAGCGGTAGTGGTGACGACCTCGGCTTTGGCGGCCTCGGTTTTGGCAGTGGAAGTGATGTCGCTTAAGCCTTTTATTGTGATCATGTTGGACTTGCGATGATGATGCTTCTATGTTGGACTTATGATGCTTCTATGTTGGACTTGCTATTATGTTTATCATGTGGGACTTGCGATGATGATACTTTTATGTTGGACTTGTGATGATGTTTATCATGTTTGACTTGCGATGATGATGAACTTGTGATAATTATCTTCTCTTTTCTGTTG